AGGGTTGCTGCCTCGCCTGAGCCTCGCTGAGCTGCAGCAAAGCCAAGTCCTCAGCACCCACAATCCCTTGGCCGGAGCTGCTGCTGCTGCATCGGAAGCGGCGAGTGCTGGTATGGCGTCAGGCGCTAAGCTTGGGAGTCTGCCTGGGCTTCAGAGCAGGGCTAGCGTTGCTGCGAAGGCCGTGGGGGACAGCGGAAGAGGTGTGAGAAGCGTGGAGCCCACTGGGAAGGGCGTGTTCAAGTCTGAGACTGCGTTCAAGGCCATGCCAGATCGGTCGGCAAACGCTGGTGTCCAGGAGCTCGGTGTGCCTGAGCTATGTGGTGGTGGTGCCGCTGCCGCTGCTGCTGCAGGGAAGGAGGAGAAGAAGGGGACGAAGAAGAGGGGGAGGGAGGAGAAGCCGAAGCAGAGGCCTCGTGATAGGCAGCTGATTCAAGATCGTGTGAAGGATCTGCGAGGGATAGTGCCCAACTCTGAAAGGGTATGTTTGGGATTAGAGGCGCCTGTCTTTTCATGTAGGCTATTGTTTTCCTTATCTTCTTTTGCTTTGCTTTGGTGCTTTGGATTGACAAACGAATTTATTGGTTTGTGCAGCTGAGCATTGATGGGCTGCTGGAGCGCACAATCCAGCATCTTGTGTTCCTGAGGGAGTTTTCGGCTCTCCGTGCAGACATTGACAAAGGCCAAGCAATGCTGGTGAGTTATGCCCCTAGGTTCATGGTTGCTTCATCCCTGCTCTGTTTTTCACGTTGGATGACTTACACTGTTTTCTTTTTGTAAGCAGGCGGAGAAGAGTTTTGACGAATGTATGAGTGAATGCCCGGTTTCCGTGCATCAACTCTCGCCAACTCTTGTTCAAATCAAGGTAATTGTTTTTCAAGCTTTTCATTGTTCACCATTGCAACGACATTGTCCAGGTCAGTTCAACAGTGTGTTGATATCCCATTGTGCAGGTCGAGTGGATTGGTAGCACTGTTCCGATTGACCTTGCTGATGGTCTTCGCCAGATTGGGCTGGTGGTCCGCAAGTCATCAGTGAAGTCCTCTGGTGGTCGTGTCAAGGCTCACATCATTGCTGAGGTGAGTCTTGCATTTCCTGGTAGCGTTTCCTGTCCCTTGTACACACAACCAGTCTTTTTTATGTAGTTTGACCGGTCCAGGTTTGACTAAAGAAATTATGTCTTCTGTTGGCAGTGCAAGCAGCCTGTGGAGCGCATGGACATCATGTGGCATGTTCTTCAGCACCTGAAGGATAAGCTGCCAGATATGTCTAACGTGTTCTCTGGGACTGAGAAGCAGGTGGAGACAAGGAAGCTAGATACTGTATTTGATCCAGCAGATTCGTGCCGGCAGGTTGTGTATCAAGTTGGGGTAATGTCGGCTTGAGTTGCTTGGCATTACAATTGAGTTGTAATGATTTTTTTATCATTCATCCAGCAGATTCGTGCCGGCAGGTTGCGTATCATATAATTTTGAGTTGTAATGATTTTTTTCACTGAATGAATGATCAATGTTGTCTATAGTGCTGACTACCTCATTCTGTACCATTGTATATGTAGTTGTCCCACTAGTTACGTACATCATTACACAACAATTTCATACCATGTATAATTACATTCAGCTTTTGGTCACCATCAGGCGCTTGATGTTAGCGATCTCCTTTCCTGGGCTCAAACCCTTAGGACATGCCTTGGTGCAGTTCATAATGGTGTGGCAGCGATACAGCTTGAAAGGGTCATTCAGATCGTCCAGCCTCTCCTTCGTAAACTCATCACGGCTGTCCATGATCCACCTGAAACCATAGAGATAACGAAATGTTACATGCAGATGCAGGCAGAACTAGAGAGACAACTGAAAGAAAGAGGACAGAACAAACGAAAACGACCAGTTTTGATCACAATACCTGTTGGCATTCAGAAGCGCAGACGGTCCGAGGTACTTCTCAGGGTTCCACCAGTAGCTGGGACACGAGGTGCTGCAGCACGCGCACAGGATGCACTCATACATGCCGTCAAGCTTAGCCCGGTCCGCCTTAGTCTGAAGAAACTCCTTTCCATCTTCCGGCAGCTTCTTGGTCTTCAGCCATGGCTCGATGGACTTATACTGCTGGTAGAACTGAGTCATGTCCACCACGAGATCTTTAATGACAAACATATGCGGTAACGGAGTGATTGGAATAGAAGATCCTGGGGATGCTTCGATCTTGGTGAGACAGGCAAGGCCGTTCGCGCCGTTGATGTTCATCGCGCAAGAACCGCATATCCCTTCCCGGCAAGATCTGCGGAATGTGAGAGTCGGATCGACCTCGTTCTTAATCTTAATCAGGGCGTCGAGAATCATGGGTCCGCATTCCTTGGTATCTATAGTGTAGGTCTGAAGACGCGGCTTTTCGTTCTGGTCGGGATCCCATCGGTAAATCGAGAACTGCTGCATACTTTTAGATGCAGCAGCAAGCGCGGGAGCCGATCCGCTCACGAATGTCCTGAAAGGAAACTTCCCTGACGCAACCGACTTGGCATTCTGCCGCGCCAAGCGCGCAACAAGGCCTCCCAACGTCATAGTGTCTCGGGAGTTGAACGCAAGGGACAACCGGTGAGCTCGACCGGGAAGGTCCGGCCTAAGTGGTCCTTAGCTTGGCACACTAAGAAGCAGTGGAGTCTAGACTCTAGCATAGGTTGTTGCGTCTTGAAGCTCCACGAAATTGGTAGGCTAGGTCTACACGCGAAAACTGCACCAAGCTGGTAGCTGATGGGAGGGAGAGGCCAGGCTAGCTGGCAAAGGATATTCCCATGGTTGGTTGAAATCCAGCAGTAGATAAATACGTGTTTCCACTGCGGTTTAGGAGGCCTGGTCAAAATTCTGTCAATGTGTTTCCAGTGTGGCTGATTACTTAGCTAAGCTCGCTCGCTTGGAGAACGGGAAGGCTGTCAGCGGGATGGCCTGGAAGATGTCGGGCAGCTGCCAACATCAGGACTGGCCACGCCAGCATATGGTGATGTAGCAGGCTTGGTTTAGAGTTCGATATTTGAGGCCTTGATTTTCACAACAAAACCCGCTATGAATATCATCTGGACGACCATTTGATATTCCAGTTGCTATGGATGCTTAATTAGTTGGAGTGCCCACAACTTACCATTGGGTATATATTTAGGTATCTTTCGGGTTATAGAAGTAATCACCATCGGGTTATATATTTAAGACCCACCATACTTATATATATTGTGAAATATGGCGCCATTTTTCTTAATAGAAGCGAAGCAATTTCAGAACGACTGGTACTTTCCTCCTTTCAATGAAATCACATCGGTTTCGCGTTGTCAATGCTGCGTTTTTTTTTTTTTTTTTTTTTTTTTTTTTTACTTTTAGGCAGTTGAATCCAAGTTTTCCCGAAAGCGACAGTAATGATACTTGGCAAATGCCTAAGGGTGTGAACAATCTACACTCAATAGATATTCGAGGACAATTCGCAGTATATTTTCACTTGAATTGTTTTTGTTATGGGGAACTAATATGTTGGAAACAAGTAAACTTAAACGCTTCTGAAGTATTGAAGTGTCGACACGAATCAGAGCAGACTACAGCGAAGAAACATCCGAGTCAACAAAAGCAACCGCTGGAGGTTACGCGAAAGTCAAAGGTCGCTGACCCTTGAACTGACGAAAACTACAGTGCGACAGCAAGGAAGGACACATAACTAACTCGTTACTGAGCAGTTACCCGAGTCGGCACTGTATCGAACCGCAAGAGCAAAAACAGTTAAAAGTATAACTTTTCATATTCCTTTGTAATCATATAAAAGGCTTGTATTTCTTTGCTATTAATCAACTTATCTTGTTCTCACATGCTAGTGCAAGGTGGTTCAAGCAACTCTGATATTACAACGTTTCCGCAATTACAACATCTCTATTTCAACACTTGATCTTAGCCTTGAAAGATCCCAAGGGCTTTTCTCAGCCCAACATGGTATGAGAGCAGGCAGGGCAAGATCACCTCCTTTTAAATTACCTACAACAACGCAAGACATGGCAACACGAAAGGAGAGAAGCTCCTCCAACGGATCTCTCGGTACTACTCCTACTCCACCTCCAGCTTCTGGCCTACAGACAGAAGTGTCAAACCAGGGCCCTCGCTAGTCTCTGAACCCCCCTGAGGCGTCAGACGGGCCCTTCGGGCCCGTCTGACTGGTCAGATTTTTTTCACGCACCTGTCTTTCGCATCAGAAATTCTAACATTACTTGGCTTAAAAATCAGATTTTGTAACCCGTCCCTACTGTAACTATAACTACTACTCAGCTATTCTCTACAAAGAAAACATATCAAGAATAACTATCTAGCTATCTGAGTCAGAGTCAGATGCCTCATTGTCACTCAGTGTAACAGTTGCACGCACATCCACTCCTTCATCCTCACTGTCGCTATCTACTATGTGAGTTTTGGCTTTCTTCCTCTTGGCTTCTCCGTCGTCATTGGACGGCGCTTTCTGAGCTGTCGTGTTAGGTGCTAGATCCTCCCTGTCTCCCTGCCTCCCTGCCGCTTCCGTCTCTGCCTCCCTGCGCTTCGCAGTTGCCACTCCACTGACTTCTTTGGCAGGGCGCCTCTTCTTTGCCCCGCGCCACAGCTTCACCACGTTGTCCCAGTCTGGTTCGTAGTCAAGCAGGGAGATGCACATGAGGTCGGAGAGTCGCGCATTGCAGAGGTTGTTCCTGAGCCACGACTTGATTACGTTTTGGCGACTGAACCCTCGCTCACACTCCACAGTGCTGAGCGGAAGAACAGCCACTGCCACCCAAAGTCGAACCAGATTGGGGAAAGAAGACTCCCAATCCCCGCTCCTGAGCATGTTCTTAAGTGCCACGTGGAAGGATTGATCCTTGTACTGTGACACCATCACGCGGGTGAAACGTGGAAGCTCCCGCTCGGCCTTCTTCCAGTTGACTCCTGCAAGCACACAGCACATCTAGTTAGCATCCCACTATGTAGACGGATCGTTACACAAACAAGGGATTAGGGACAACGCGGAATTTGAAAACACGTACCTGGCAGAGCGCACTGCTCGGCGTTGAACATCTTGCGAAGGGAGCTGAACCACTCCGCGCACAGACGGTCGCGCTTGTTCACGCCATCCGGATAGGCGTCTGGCAGAAATAGCTTGGACCCAACGAGGGACTTCAAGCTTCGCATGCGGTACTGTAGCCTGCCGATCACCTCCTTCGCAAACAGGGTGGCGAGGGACACGCAGGACTCGACGTCACCCGAGGGATCCTCTTTCTTCTTCGCATCCAGCTCGTGCAGCTTGAAGGTGTGTTTGACGGCGTTGCCGTCTCCATCCATCCCCTCCACCTGGACCACCCGCTTGGACGGATGGGAGTGCGCTTCGAGGAAGGCAGTGAGGTGCTCGCTGTCCTCCGCGAAGTTCACCCCGTACTCCACATAGCGCGCGTTCAACTTCTCGCAGGTGTTTTGCACCTGCCCCATGACACGGGTGATGTCCACCTGCGACATCACGCACAAACACAATGTTAATCACTGACATTCGGGACTAGAGCGAATTTCAAAATCGGCGACCGTTAATTACACGCTCACCGATCGTCGCTGAAACCGCTTGTTGAGCTCGTTCAATTCCTTCAGGACATCAGCGAGAAAAAAAAAGAAAGAAATGAAATTTGAGGCTCGTAACCAGGTGATACGTCGTGCTGTCTTTCTCGTGGAGCAGCACTATGGCAGCCGGCAGAACAGCGACAAGTCTCGAAACAGCATCGCCCCGCGACAGCCAGCGAACATCGAAAATCCCCTGCATCTCCAAGTTCGTGGCGTGAATCACGGTTTGCAGCTCGTGGAACCTCTGGTGGACGACGCAGCTTCCGCCAATGAGGGTCGCGATGGCGCGGATCCCTTGGTCGACGATGTTGAAGGCGGGGATGTTCATCGCGGCATCCTTGGCTGCGAGAGCTTCTCTGTTAGATGATGGAAAAAAAAACCAAGTGAGTAGGGGGAGATGTATCTGACAACAATACTGCAAAATTTGAAGTGCAAAATACCTCACCGGTGAGCAAGGCAATGACACGCGACAAGATGCGGAACTCGCATCTTCAGCTGAACCACCAGCCCATTCTGACTGCCCAGCATGACGTTCGCGCCTTCCGTGCTGATGCCGGAGATCTTGTGCATGTCAACCCCGTTGCAGTCCAGATGCGCCAGCAAGACGGCGAGCAGAGATGAAGCGTCGCCCTTCTCCACGGTTAGGTGCCCGAAAAGCTCGGTCACCGCCTTCTCCTCCTTCATGAAGGTTAGGTAGACGATGAGATGCTTGCCCTTCCTCCGATCAGTCGACTCGTCGAGCTGAATCCCGAGAAAGGGCGACTCTTGGATGTATCGCATCTGACGGGCCTTCAGGTGCTGCACCATGGCTTCGGTCATCTCCCGAAACCCATATCTGCCATAATGAAAAGCACGACAATAAGTCAATGATGATGAGTACCTAAACATCACATCACGTTGCATTACTCACTCTGTCTGGTAGGTGCCGATGGCCTTGTCGGGAATGTTGGGGGTCTTCAGAACGTGTAGCAGGTGCACAAGGCCAACAAAGAGCGCAATAGGTGCATCCGACTTGCATATGAAAAGCACCACTAATAGAAGTTGTTTCAAACGCTCAATCTCCCCCACCCCGTCCTCATACTCATCAATCCCTCGTTGAGCAACTTTACCTCCTTCGGCTCGGGCTTTACGATCGAGGGCGTCCTGATGCTTGCGACTCAGACCATGCTTGCGCATGGTCTGCTTCTGGATGTCCACGCCACCCTCGCCCGCCTTGCCGTACTGCCAGTGTGGCGGTCCGTATCTGATGCAGACACTGCACTTCATGCACGGGCGACCATCCTTCCTTTGTGATATCAGCAGCCAAGGGAAACGAAGTTGCCAGATGTCGGTGCACTTCTTCTTCAGTTCTTCGAGAAGCGCGTCAGGATCCGGAACCAAAATAGACGGCCTGGACGGCCCTGGATCAGAAGGCACCCTGCTCGTGCCAGTCGCTGGAGTCAGCGGAGTAGCAGCAGCTGCGGGAGAGGGCGACCTTCCTTGCGTGAGGCGCACATGAGGTACGCGAGTTCGAGCAAACCGAATAGTCGATTGAGTGAACTTCCCGAACTTCGGGAACCGGGAGACGCCTGCGCTTCGGACAGCACTGACCGTGGGAGTTGCGACGCGCCCGGTCGCTCTAGTGGGCGACTCTTCCACAGGCGGATCGCTCAGCTGTTGCCGCTGGTTAAAATCCGGCCAGGGCTCCGTGCTTGCCGTTGGTTCGTTGTTGGTAACTGGGGGCTGCACAGGCGGATCTCTTTCAGGCGTGGCGGTAGGCGGACCGCCTCTCAGAAAGTCGAGACCAGTAAGTGGACGATGCGACCTAGCAGGGTCATCATCGTCCCTACAATCCATGGCTACAGGGCCCTAGGAGGATGTTGTCAAGACGGTAGAGAGAGCAGGGGAAAGAATTCCCCTGTGCTAGCGAGTGAAAGGAGCGTTGGAGAGGGAGGGGGAGCCAGCCGAGCATTATCAGCTGAACGAGGTGCATGCATGATCTTACAACGCACCGCGGTGCCCCACTCCATCCTTCGTCCAGCGGGACGTTGGGCAACAGTCGGTGCGAGTCGCGCGAGGCTCTGCAATCCACACAACTCATGCACTGGCGTGAAAGTGGACCAGTAACAGAAAGACTTGCTCCATTTTCGTCTCAATGTGGCCCAATTTGGCCAGACGTGCGCCAGATTGCCAGCACTTGACTTCTGTCAGTGCGCTCCGCTGCGCTGTCACTGCAATCACGCATACAGGTCTACTGATCGTGCTGTGATTGGCGCAGCTAACCCATATCACGCGTCAATCACGGTAGACTGTATAAAAGTCGGTTTCAGACGGAACTGATACAAGTGCCTGGAAAATCAGAGGAATAGCTACACGCACGTCTTTTTCATCAGACAAAATGGGAATCTCATATCTTATTCATCAGATTTCCCAAACGTTCCATTTCTTAAAAATCAGATTACGTAAAAAAAATCCGTCTTATTCCTCAGAAAAACAGACAAAAATGTCTGATAGCGAGGGCCCTGTGTCAAACATTAATCACATAGCCTATCTAGGCTGTAGTGGGGTAGACACTATGGGGTACAGTTTCCTAGGGTTTCATATTTGTACCCAACTCATTTCCTAGTCAATCATTCATTCCTGTTTCTCCACATGGTACAGAGCGGGTTCCCTACTGGGACCGTTCCTTCATAAGGGCCCACCGTTAAAAGTTTTTTTTTTACCTACCTGCCCGAAGCGCGCTTTGCGCTCTGCCCTACGCGACCCCTTTGCGGCCCCTTAGTGGCCTTTTCTGCCCTACGCGGCCCCTTTGCGGCCTGTTAGCGGCCCCCCTTTGAGGCCCCGTTGCGACCCCGCCTCGGCCCTGCCCCGTCGCCCGAAGCCGCCCAGTCGCGGCCCTATCGCGGCGCTGCCCCGGCCCTGCCCCGTCGCCCATTGCGACCCCGTCGCGGCCCCGCCCTGGCCCTCCCCCGTCGCTTGTCGCGGCCCGGCCCCGGCCCTGCCCCGGCCCCACACCGGCCCCGTCGCGGCCCTGTCCCGGACCTGCCCCGGCCCTGCCCCGACCCTGCCCCGACCCTGTCGCGGCTCTGTCCCAGACCTGTCGCGACCTCGCCCCGGCCCTGTCCCGGCCCTGCTAAAGCCCTACCCCGGCCCTGCCCCGGCCCTGCCCCGGCTCTGCCCCGACCCTGCCCTTACCCTGCCCCGGCTCTGCCCCGGCCCTGCCCCGGCTCTGCCCCGGCCCTGCCCCGGACCTGTCGCAGCCCTGCCCCGGCCCGGCCCCGGATCTTTCGCGGCCAGACCCCGGCCCTGCCCCGGACCTGTCGCAGCCCTGCCCCGGTTCTCCCCCGGCCCTGCCCCGGCCCTGCCCCTGGTAAGAGCACCGCCGAGCCGAGCCGCGCTGCCGAGCCGCACCGCCCTGCCGAGCCGCCCTGCCGAGCCGCGCCGCCGAGCCGCGCCGCCCTGCCTAGCCGCGTCGCTTAGCTGAGTTGCACTGCTGCTGCTGCTAGCCTGCTGCTGCTCCTGTCATGGCTAGTCCCAGTGTTCTTACCTTTGATGCTGAGGGTCGAGCGGTTGACTTCGAGGTCTGGCTAGATGATCTGCAGCTTTTCCTACAGTGCGATAGCAAGGATGGTCTCTCACTGTTCGATCTCACGTCTGGCACCTCTACTGCCCCTGCTGCTGATGCTGACAGTACTGTTCGCTCGCAGTGGACCACGCGCGATGCTGCTGCCCGCCTTGCTGTGCGTAGTCACCTACCGTCTACTGAGCGCGCGCACTTTAGTCAGTACAAGAGTGCTAAGACTCTGTACGACGCTGTAGTTGCACGCTACTCTTCCCCTGCCAGCCGCCTCATGCTACCGTACCTGTTCCCTGACCTCGCCGCTTTTGCCACAGTCACTGACCTCATTACGCACCTCCGCACTAGTGACACTCGCTACCGCGCTGCGCTTCCTGTTGAGTTCTGCGCCAAGAACCCCCCCCCCATGTACATCACCCTCTACTACCTAGTCACCCGGCTCCCTGACACCCTTCGCTCGGTCAGGGACCACTTCCTCTCTCTTTGCCCTACCACACTCATCGTTGACCTCCTCGAGGAGCGCCTCCTTGCAGCAGAGACTAGTATTACCGCTGTAGGAGCCTCTCGTGGTGACCCCCGTACCCCTTTCTTTGAGGGGTGCTCCCCCGTTCCTCTTTTGCCCTCCGTTGCCTCTGCTGCCGCTGTCAACCTTGTTGGCACCGAGTCGGTCAGCGCTGCGTCTACTCCTAGCGAGAGGCGCCGCAACGGCAAGGGCAAGCGGGGCAAGGGCGCTGGAGGAGGTGGCGGGGGAGGCGGTAGTGGCGGTGGAGGCGGAGGAGGGGGTGGGGGTGGGGGTGGTGGCAGAGGTGGGGGCTTCGGTGGCAGCGGTGGAGGTGGAGGCGGCGGTGGCGGTGGCGGTTGGGGTGGAGGCGGCGGAGGCGGCAGCGGCGGCGGTGGAGCTGGTCGAGGCGGTACTGTGCAGCGAGGACCCCAGCAGCAGCAGCGCTCTCGTGAGACCCCGTCGCCCCAGCAGCTTCGTGAGTGGTACGCAGGGCGCCAGCGGTCTGGGGGTGCTGGTCCCTGTGCCTACGTCCTGCGCACCGGCGACCGCACTGGAGAGCAGTGTGGCGGCCTGCACGCCACCCAGCGCTGCTTCGGCCGCCTGACAGACGCCTGGCGTACCTAGTTCCCTGACGCCACTGAGATCCCTCGCTGGGGTGATCTGCTCAGGTCGGGTGTAGCTATCTTTGATCTTGACTTTGATGCTATTCTTGCTGCCATGTATGCTGTGTCTATTAGTGCTGAGGGTGACTGTTACGTGTGTGTTCCGCCTGACCCGGGCATTGAGGCTGCTGCTCTAGGTGCTCGTGAGTCTGCTGCTCCAGGTGCTGGTGAGTTTGCTCTCTCAGGTACCGCGTCGGCTCAGGTCTTGCACACCTTCACCCTCGACTCGGGTGCTTCCCGCTCTTTCTTTCGAGACCGCACCACCCTTACGCCGCTCAGTCGGCCGGTTGCGGTCTCCCTGGCAGACCCCTCTGGGGGTCCTGTCCTTGCCCACTACTCCACTGTCCTCCCGTGTCCGGCGGCCCCGTCAGGCTCCCTGTCCGGTCTCTACCTCCCCTCGTTCTCTACGAACTTGGTGAGTGGTGCTGACCTTCAGGATGGCGGGGTTGACCAGTTCACTCCTGCGAGTCAGCGAGTGACCCACTGCACGTGTGCTCAGACGGACCGCCACTTGGCCACGTTTACCCGTCGACCGGGGTCGAGCCTGTACACACTGACCACAGAGTCTCCACCGGTTGCTGCGTCTGGTCAGGTAGCTGCGTCGAGTCAGGTGTTTGCTGCAGCGTCTCGGTCAGGTCCTGAGTCTGCCCCCTGCTCGTGTCGCCTCTTGTCCCACTAGACCCTCCTCTGGCACCACCGCCTTGGTCACCCCTCCTTGCCTCGTCTCCGAGGCATGGCCTCCCGTGTCCTTGTCTCTGGTCTCCCCCGGTCCCTCCCTCCCCTTCCCCCAGGGCCTGCCCCTACCTGCTTTCCCTGCGTCGAGGGGCGGCAGCGCACCGCTCCTCACTCCTCCGAGTTTCCTCCGACAGAGGCTCCGCTGCAGACTCTCCACATGGACGTGTGGGGCCCAGCCCGCGTCCGTGGACAGGGTCACGAGCGTTACTTCCTGCTGGTGGTTGACGACTACTCGCGTTACACCACAGTCTTCCCCTTGCGCCGCAAGGATGAGGTCACTGAGGTGTTGATCGACCGGTCCGCGTTGCTCGTCTCCAGCTCAGAGATCGTTTCGGCTCGGACTTTCCTGTTCTGCGTCTGCACTCCGACAGAGGTGGAGAGTTTTCCTCCGACCTTCTGCGAGCCTTCTGTCGTGCGGAGGGCATCCGCCAGACGTTCACGATTCCGGCCTCTCCACAGCAAAATGGGATTGCTGAGCGCCGCATTGGCATGGTCATGGACGTCGCTCGTACGTCCATGATCCATGCGGCTGCTCCCCATTTTCTGTGGCCGTTCGCGGTTCAGTACGCGGCGCATCAGATCAACCTTCAGCCCCGGGTCTCCATGCCGGAGACCTCCCCTACTCTGCGGTGGACGGGGAAGGTTGGCGATGCGTCTGCGTTCCGTGTCTGGGGATCTCGAGCTTTCGTCCGTGACTTGTCTGCGGACAAGCTGTCCTCCCGTGCTGTTCCTTGCGTCTTCCTCGGCTTCCCCCCTGACGCGCCTGGTTGGAAGTTTTACCACCCCACCTCGCGTCGTGTTCTGTCCTCCCAGGACGTCACGTTTGACGAGTCGGTTCCGTACTACCGTCTCTTCCCCTACCGCGCTGCCCCCCTCCCCCCCCCGCCGCTCTTCCTCACGCCCGGTCCCCCCTGGTAGACCCCCTCCCCCCTCAGGGTCCTGCCCCCTCAGGTGTGTCCCAGGTAGATGCAGTCGAGCCTGACGAGGTAGCTGTTGACTCTGGTGCTTCTGGGGGTGCTGAGCCTGAGCGTGCGGAGCCTGGGGGTGCTGGGCCTGGGGGTGCTGAGCCTGAGCGTGCGGAGCCTGGGGGTGCTGGGTCTGGGGGTGCTGAGCCTGAGCGTGCGAAGCCTGGGGGTGCTGGGTCTGGGGGTGCTGAGCCAGGGGTTGCTGAGAGTGGGGGTGCGGTACCTGCCGGTGCTGGACCTGGAGGTCCTTCGAGTGCTTTGTCCCGGCGGGAGCTACCCTCTCCGCAGGAGCTGCGCGAGTGGTTTGCTCGGCGCTGGAGCCGTGCTGCTGGAGCTGGAGGTGCTGCCGATGCTGGAGGTTCTGCTTCTGCTGGGGGTGCTGGAGCCACGGGTCCCGGAGGTGCTCGTACTGGAGG